ACTATTCAAAACATTAACCGTGTAATGATCTCATCTTGCTAGCCTTGTCTAAGCCTCTTCTGAAAGTTTGCCAGGTTATATGGCAGAACGTGCAATTTTTTATTTCTTGGAAAATGGATAGAGGCAGCCAGCTCACAGATTACATTTTGAGAGCTTTGGCTTCCAAGCAATTACAATTTTTACTTATTACTGACTAGACCAGAGTCAAAAGCATTGTAAGGGACATTGAAATTAGTCAGTGCCCTAGAAATGGAACACCCTGAATTCCCTCACCTTTCAACAGGCTCTTCCACATAATGGTGGTAATTATTTTTCATTCTTGAATGCTCAGCTAACTCTTTAATTTTTCATTTAATAAACGAAAGCTTGCTTCTCTCCACCATGTCCCTTTCTTACAGGTTTATATTGGAAAACCCTTTTTATTATAAAAACCAGCATCATAGTTTGTGAAGGCAAATGAAAATAAATAAATCTGATTTAAGTAACTATCCAAAGGTTATACTTGCAAGTGCATTTTCTTTCTTCAGAAAAATATTTTAATAATCATTTTTAGTTGGGATATTCTCTGTGAAAAAGTGAGTCCAGAGACAGTGTTTATCTTTCTGTTGTAATATATTCTACAGAATTCTAGTGGATACATACATAAAGAGATAGAATTAGACATTAATATTTTCTCATCATCAGAAAAATAATTTATCATTGAAAATGTTATCATATAATTGCATGGCATTTATCTTAATGAGTATAATCTGTTATGTCTGATTTTTTTGTCCACTTTAGCACTTATTTGAAATAGAATCCCATTAAAATGTTTTTCATTATTGTCATTATTGTCATGACAACTGCATCAAAATACTTAACTGCAAATACAATGAACCTACTACTGTCTGATCTCTTACTGCAAAAGTAGTTTGGCTTGGATGGACCTTTTACAAAGAGTGTGTTCCTGCAGAATAGTGTTTTTACACAATGACAGTAAATTGATTACTTTATAGAATTCCCATTTTATCTTGCGTCTGCTGATTTTACCTTCACAGAGCCTTGGTTGATCTTACCTATTGCCTCAGTAAGGCACCTGGTAATAGGGTTATATATCTGCAGTTAAAAGATCCGTGTCTCAGGTAAAGCAATGATCATACTTCCCTTTCTAGCTGTTTAGTGTATTATATGCATTCCTGTAATCTTTTAACACTTGCTTTCCCATATGTATGCATATCCTAAATAGTGCCACTGAAACTGAAAATCTAAAGTAATTTGAAGCTAGTTGTGAATGAAAAAGCATTTGTATAACATTTGTATAGTATCTGAAGAAGTGTTTAACAGAGGTAAAAATGCCCCTTTGACTAATTGTGAGATTATAAGTAATTCAGTTTATGGCTAACTTGTTTCAAGTTAAGCACAGCGTTGTAATACAGGTAGCCTGAACATTCAAAGCAAAATGTGCAACCACATTTATGCTCATGTATAAGGCAAACAGTAGAGTGGATTACATCAATTTCCTAAGTTAGACCTTGAGGAAATAATATTTAGAGATGAACATGTTTAAAACCATATAAAATTGCTGCTTAGGTTGCTTGAATAGTGGGAAAGAAGAAATGCTCGAAGAACAGATTTTTTTAATTGAGTAGTTCACAGCTTGTTCTGAAAGCGTGAACATTTCACCGATGAAATACAGTCACTGAAATCTGTGTTTCTGAGAGTGTTTATGTGCAAAGTAGAGTGTTTGGACACTTCTGTGAGCGGGTGTGAAGACCAAGAATATTTTATCTCTCAATTGGAATTAAACATATGGAAAAGACTGGGTTACATTTTCCCAGACTGCTGTTTTGATTTCTTCTCATTTAATTTCATGTTCTGTGGGAAGAATGCTGTTCTCTAGGGAGAGCACACCAGCAGCATAAGGGTGGGTGGAATGCAAGGATATCTGGTTTGCTAGGATATCTGGCTAACAGCTAGTCACCTTAAAACACAAGGAAGAGTCAAGAGAAGTCAATTAAACACTGATACTGTAAACACTAAGGAACAGGAGTAACAAATACAGGGATCCTTAGGCCCTTAATTGATGGGCCACTAAAGGAACCTCTGAATCATGGCCTTGAAGAGGTTCAACCAGAACTTTGTCACTTGTAAGAGAGAAGCAAGTTTATAAGAGATCTCATGGGAAGATGCAAACTTCTAATGGGATATTTGAGGGGACTTGAGAAGTTTTGTAAAACTTCTAAGGCTCTTTTATGGGGATTGTGGGAATGAACAAAATTTATTATGGCTTATTTAGGAAAGGGTCCAAATGCAGTGAAAAGGAAGAGATGGAAGTGGATCAGAGAAGAATGAGTGGAAGCATAGGAGAAAAAAGGGGTTGGTCATGTCTAAAACAAGCTGCTGATCAGTATGCTTCTCTGGCTAAGGCTTGGACTTGATTGCCTCACTGTAGACAAACTAGCTATTAAGGTCTATTCTTCCCAACTATTTTCCCATGTGGGTTTGCCTGACCAACAGTTTGCTTCATGAGAGACTGGGTGGCTGGGAAGAGAGGCCAGGGTGCCAGTACCTGTATGCAGAGGCCATGGGTCGAAAGGACCCATAGGTTTAGGGGACAGTGATTGGAGAGATGGGTAAGCTGACAGAGGGGCCCATTTGTCTATGTGTGTGACTGCAGCTCAGCTGAAGTTGCTGGTGAGTTTGGCAAGCAGACTGTGAGCCTGATAGTGGAAGGGTGGAGTCTGAGATAGTGGAGGAGCATAGACCTAGACCAGTTGCCAGAGATACCCATGTGCATGCATGCTAGCAAGCTTTGAGCCTGATTAGCCAGAAAGTACAAAACACAACCAGGCCATTAGGATTGTTCATGTTATGTGAATACTTCTGGTGTAAATCTGCGGGCGTGCAGGCGCTGCTGAAGGCGCTCTCCCTGGATTGCTCTGTGCTGCCAGATGAGAGCATATGCATCTCTGAGCTACCTGCCTAGCCAGACTTCTGGCTGGACTTGGGAATGGCGTCAGGAAAAAGGTCTGGGGTCTTACAGCCTACCAGATTTATCTTACCTTAACAGCCAGTACCATGGCTATATGTCTGCCTTTTAGCCTGCAGTGTATCTACACAGTGTCCATATACAAGCATAAGAGCTGGGTGTTGGGAACTGCAGGAAGCAATTGTCTGTATGAAGTCTGAGTGTCAGTAATTTATAGTGTTGCTTTTTAGTACATTCTCAAGTGGTGGTGATATGATTTTGTAAACATACCTGTGCCCTGGGATTTTAAAATTTCCTAGAGAATAACTGAAGCTAATGTGCAAGCACAGCAGAGAATTCAGAAATGGCTATCTGAAATGTAGGTGTGTTAGTAGGAGCCGTATTCATATATTATAGTAGCACATTGATTCAATAGCATATTTCAAGTCCACCTCGTGGATCTCTGGAATGATATAGCTTTTGCCATCAATATGATCGGCCTGAAAAGTTGCTTTTCTGTCTTCATTTTTATTCCCAAATGTACACTTTTGACACTTGATTTGTGATAGCTGACACCTCAAAGCTGATATATAGCTCAAGAGTTAAGCAGCAGAGGGCCAGGCAGAATGAGCTGGCTATAATCTCTCAAACATACAATACTCTCTGACATCAAATGTGAAAATCATCAGCATGTGTATAGTGTCATATAGAAAAAAATACTGAAGTGAAGTGAAAAATTACTTGAGTTTTGACACAGAGGAAGTTAGGCTTTTAAACCACCTGGTATATATTTTTCATCTCTTTCCCTTTCTTTTCAAGGATATAGAAACCAGAATTGTATTTCTATATTTCCTGTGTCCCTATTGCTGAGGAAAGGGAAGGAAAAGAGGAAAAGGAAAAACACATGAATAAAAGTGTCAAAGTCTTTCCCAGAAGGCTTCTGGATTGTTCAGTACTGCACTAGGAGAAGGGGTGAATAAGTGACAAAGATAGGCTTTTTTTCCTATATTTGCTTGGAAAATTATTGAAATGAAAACAGAATTTACCAGTTTTGTTTTTTGTTTTTTAGGGAGGAGGAGAAGTTGCTGCACCCTGAATTACTATAGCAAACATATGTCTGTTTAAAATCAATTTGTTGTAAATCAATAGTTTTCTTGATGACAATAAGTATGTTTTGCGTATCTTAAAAAAAAACAAAAACAGAAGGAAGGTGACTTCGAAGGTTTGGAAAAGCATAATGCAACTGCTATGTGTGAGCATATACAGACAACAATTTTAACAGCTCTGGTAGTGGTCAGACTGGAGTTTGTATGAGAATGAGCTGCCTTCTCATAAAACAAAAGATGTGTCAGAGGTCATAGTATAATATGTACATACAAATATATACATATTATACTATATACATATATCAATATGTAACTGATAACCATTAAAAATGTAAAGAGGAGTGTGAGGCTTAGAAGAAAATACAAATACATGATTTCAGGTATGAGTATGTGGTCTGCTAAATACTGTTTGAGAGTAGCCACACTTGCAGTTGGTAGAATGAAATCTGAGAGTATGGAAAAGGCTACTTCAACCTCATTGAATTAAGAAATTTTCCATAATGTGTGAAAGTAATTTCCAGCCACTGAAAGGATTTTTCATGGCAGAAGGTCAGAAGGCCTCTCAAAGAAGCCAAATTTCACAGAATCATACAATCACAGAATAGTTTGGGTTGGAAGGGTCATCTAGTCCAACCCCCCCACAACGAGCAGGGAAATCTTCAGCTAGAGCACGTTGCTAGACCCTTCCAGCCTGGCCTTGAATGTTTTCAGTGATGGGAACCTGATCCAATGTTTCACCACCCACACTGTAAAAAAAATTCTTCCTTATATCTAGTCTGAAACTATTCTCTTTCAGTTCAAAACCATTACCCTTTGTCCTATCATAATAGGCGCTACTACAGTTTCTCCCCATCTTTCTTATAAGCCATCTTTAAATACTGAAAGGCTGCTATAAGGTTTCCCTGGAGCCTTTTCTTCTCCAGGCTGAATAAGCCAAACTCTCTCAGCCTGTCTTCACAGGAGAGGTGCTCCAGTCCTCTGATCATCTTTGTGGCCCTCCTCTGGACTTGTTCAAGCAGATCCATGTCCTTCTTGTGCTGGGGGCCTCAGACCTGGACAGAGTACTGCAGGTGAGCTCTCACAAGAGGGGAGTAAAGAGGGAGAATCGCCTCCCTTGACCTGCTGGTCACTATCCTTTTGATGCAGACCAGCATATGGTTGGCTTTCTGGGCTGTGAGTGCACACTGAAGCCGGCTCTTGTCCAGGTTTCCATCCGCCAGTACTCCCAAGACTCTCTCCTCAGGGCTGCTCTCCATCCTTTCATCTCCAGCCCATACTGATACAAGGGGTTGTCCTGACTCAGGTGCAGGACCTTCCACTAGGCCTTTTTGAACTTCATGAGGTTCACACAGGCCCACTTTTCAAGGTTGTCCAGGTCCCTCTGGATAGCATCCTGCCACTCAGGTGTGTCAGCCACACCACACAGCATGGTGTCGTTGGCGAACTTGCTGAGGGTGCACTTGATCCCACTATGTCATTGATGAAGATATTAAATGTACTGGTCCCAGTATGTACCCCTGAGGGACACCACTTGCCACTGATCTCCATCTGGACATTAATCCTACTTCTGCTAATTCTGTTTCATGTCAGGAATCAGAGGAAAGACCATATGCCATTACTCCCCAGAACAGATCAATAAGCAGGTTTCAGCAGAAAGAGATGTAAAGGTACACTAAATAGTTTGTTTCATTGAAGAATGTTTCAACAGGGATCAAAATCAATCACAGTGTCAGGAAAAGGCTTGCTTCGGTTCAGTAGGACAGATTTTTCCATTTTGACTTAGGAAAGAGAAGCAGTATTGTTTCGCTCTCTAGAGTATAGGTCAGGAAACATTTTATGATCCCATTGGAATGGTATCAGTTGCACTGGAGCTTACTACCTAGCAGTGTGAATAATACTGTCAGTGTGAATAATACTGTTTTACAGGCATGTTTTAAAGCAACTGCTACAGTATTTTATGAAAGGTTAAGCTCTGCAGCTGGGTGCCAGCTGTCCTGTGCACACATCTGTTGTTAGGTTCAAATTTAAGTTATTTTTTTCTCTTTCTAGGTTTCCCTCTGGCTTACAAGGAAAGGCAGATGCTACTCCCGAGAAGGGTAGCTTGGAGTTCACATAGAACTGCAGTGACTGGTGTGCTGCTCAGGGGTCTTCATGGATGTGAACATGAAGTGCATTATGAAGCCTAAATCTTCTTTTGGATCTGGCTGATATTCTAGGCACTTTTTATATTCATAGTTTACCTTTGCCTTAAGGATTTGAAGAGATGCTAAGCAAGTATGGGGAGATTCAGATCGCAATCTGAAGTCTGTTTTTTAGATTTGGATATATTAATGTAAGGAGGCAAGGCTGAGTCAGCTTTTTCTGTCTTTCAGGCTTGTATATAAACTTTTAATAATGAAGAGTCAACAGACTTATATTTTTATGATATGATCCTTCCCCTTTGCATTCACTAACTCTGCCACCTGCCCTGTAGAAGTGCAGGTTAAGAAATAGCAGAATACTGCTGCCCTGGGGTTAGGTCAACTTCAGCAGATGGAGAATCCTCAAGAAGTGCTGTGTCTGAGTATACCTTTGGTGGCATCAGTTAGCACCTGTGGTCTTCTTCCAGCTTAGTGCTTTGGTGGCTTCTTGTTACTAATACCTCAGACTGAACTTAGATTGAAAATTTATCTTTCTTTCATTCTTCGTTTCTGCGAGCTTTTAAGGCTTGAGAAACAATGAGTTCTTTATCTCACTGTAAGCTGTTTAAACGTGATTTTTGTTTGCTTTTGGGTAACAAAAAGCTTCAGTAAACTGTGTTACACATGTAAAGATAACACGTTTCTTTTTAGTCTGGTTATAGCTTTGGACAACATTTTAAAGCCTACTAGCAATTGTAAATCAATACATGTCAATTAAATGTACATGTGGCTGTCAGTTCATATTTGTTCTGTATTTATTTACTTAGGTTTGGCTGCTACCAGTTATTTCACCTTTTATCAACTACAAGCAGCATGAACCTAACAATGAAGAATGATGCAAATATAATGATCCTATTGATTGCAGTAGAGATTCATTCTTTGAGAGAAATTGAATGCACCTACTGAAACAGAAGCAACTTAGGTAATGGACTTAGATGAGCTAAATATCAACTGAAACTCTTACAGAATGGATGTCATGGTATTTGTCTCTTGAGGATATCTAGATAATAGTAAATTCTCGTCAGGTGTACTGAAGCTATGCTTCAGGGAACATTAAGGTGCATCATAATGGCCTCCAAAGTTCACAACAGTTCAGAAATACCACTGAATGAAAACACAAGGGGTTTCACTTTAAAATACTGAAAATAGCTCACAGCTGTTTTTTCTCAGCCTTACTGAAGATACAGCCCCTTCGTTCTTACCCCTTGCCAGTTGTGTGGCTAGGTTTCCTGTGTGTTGATTTTAGCCTTACCTTACACTGCAAGACAGCAGTGAACATACAGAGCTGTTAAGACCAGCACTGTTTCCTCTTAGGAACAAACAATCAATACTCCCTGAACTCATTACCTGCTGGTGCATCTGCATTGCCTGTATAAATTTTTATTCCTAATAAATGACTAACTCATCACACATTAATCTACAATAATGTGATCATTTCAAGATTTTGCTTTATTTCAAACAATTCTCTAGACAGCTGCATAGTTACAGGAACGTGCCATTTTTTGTGATACTATCATGGTTAAGTTAAAATGCATGATGGGAACTTTGGCTCATACACTAGAAATGCTCTTTCCACTTATGCTTTTAAGATATGTGAAGCAGATTGTCCTTGTTTATCCAATGGCCAATGCACAATGAAATCTCATCTTCCTGATGGAAAAAAGTCCAGTCACTTAATTGCTTAAAACCTGAATCACTCAACCAACTTCAAAGCTGCCTTTTAAAAAATATTTTTAATGTAGACTTGTAAGTCTTCCAAGCTTAGCAGGTAACTGCCAGTTTTGGTGTCCCAGACAGATGTCCCTCTCATAGCACTGAATTGGTTAGGGTCCTCACCCTTTGCTTGCCCTTGTGCTAGGACAGCAGCTTTGGCTCCATGTATGTCCCATCACTTGAGACAATTGTCTTAAGCCTTTAATATTCACCCCTGGGGTTTTTTTCCCCACTTTTGCAAACCTTGGTTCTGTTCATTCGTTCAAACAAGGTAATTCCATTGTGCTTGCAATAACAGCCCTTCCAGAATAAGAATTAAAGGCAGGAGGAGGAGATCCAGAGACAATAACTAAAGTCAGCCACAGCTCCAGGATGTCGGTGCAGGACTACAGGGGTAGGGATGGGCTAAGGTGAGGCTGGCATTCCAGCTGGTAGGTTGGAGGCATCCCCACAGCCTGACTGGAAGAGCTCTCTTCATGGTTATCAGTGGCACTGTCTCTAAGTTGGTCCTCAGCCTGGGCAGCCAAACCCCTAAAGGTAAGGGATACACTCAGAGCCCTGCCACCTTGAGATGAGTTTTTTTCCTAGAGGAGAAGAACAGTAAAATTCAGCTTGTTGGTATGTAGAGGAAGATTTTGTTTGTGGGGCTTGAGGGTTATTTTTTTTCTGTGAGGGCAGATACATAGCTGGTATCTTTGGTTTCAGCTGTTGGAAAGTGCCTAGAGAAAGGATGGGACTGAAAAATGGCAGAACAGAGTGTTTTGCTGGTGTTTAAAATAGTCATTTTGACTCCTGTCATTGATAAGATAATTTTTACTTTCTCAGTCAATTTTACAAAGTGCACTTGTCATAAAGGTTGCTCTGCACTGTAGGGAATTGTCCTCAAAGTTATCCTTCACATGTGGGAAGTATGCTGTGCTATGCAGTGATTACACTCCCAGTACACTGTGCCTTTGGTTCATGAAGCACTGTAGGGAATATCAGGTTTTGTAATCTCACCATTTTTGCTCTTTCTTTGGAAGCTTTGCCTAAGCTCAGTGTGCCTGTATATTGAGATAGGCAATATTCTTAACGTTCTTTCTTCAAATACTTAATTCCTGGACAAGAGCGCTTGGAGCAAAGAGCTCTTTCCTCTTGCTTTCTACCTCTTCATTAACAAATATATTTTCTGTTGTTAATATGCGATTTCAATATAAAAAAGTAGTTTAACACAGATCAGTTTCATCACAGATCAAATTAGTTTATTGATTAGAACTATGAAGAGCATAGCTAATCAGTGATGCAGAAAGTACATAGCCTAACTCTGCATGCTTAGGGGTAATACTTTTACCTCCAGATAGGTATGGCTAGCAGTCATCTTTCATTAGCTGAAGTAATAGAAGTATATAATATCTCAGAGTATGCACAAACATCGATGGATGGTTGGATGTAATGCTCGCACTCCAGGTATGCCTAAAAGCCAATTTATCAGGGTTCATCAGTTCTGGCAAGGCATTATAAAGGAACTCTGTAGTGCTCTTCTGAATGCATTTTGTTCCAGCAGATTTACTGGCTGGGTGCAAAACCAGTTTTGGTCTGCTCTGGAGTTGAACTCATGTATTCTCTTAGAAAGAGGGATCCCAAGGAGTTGCAGCACGTAAGTGGTCATCTGTGTGCCACATAGCCAGGCTTATATTGTACTGTGCCTGATGTAAATCTGCTGGAATTCATCTGGATCATTGGTAAGATGGATTTGCTCATGTTTTTGGACTAGTTAATTGCAACCCAGCTGTACTGCTGCAGAAATTAACCTATTCTGTATTCCAGGTCAGGGGGCACAGTCAACACTTGCACACACCCTGCTCATCAGTCTTAAATTGCCTATCTCAAAGTTCTCTGTTGCCTAACTGTATGATTCTGACTCATATTAACCCACATATTAGTTAGCGCTTTTACTTTACCTAAGTGCAGTAGAAGAACAATAAAACAGACAACAACAATCAAAATTCAGTCTTTTAGGGGAAAGTCCTGCTAAATTTCTTTTCCTCCTTATTCTGCTTTCTTGCTAGATTAGTACCATTTCTTACTCTGTATTTGTTTATAATTTAGAGCCTATAAAGTTACTTAACCTACATCAGTTTAACTCCAGACTGAGAGTTTAAAAGCATCAGGCACATAGGTTACCTTTTGCTTACAGCCATGCACCATGAATGCAGAAAAAATGCAAATCATGGTCTGATATTAAAACACCCAGCAGTTCACCAGATCAGATATAACAAAGCTGAGCCTAAGCATAAATGCATGGGATTATGGAAATGTTGTTTACAATTTGATACAAAGGTCTTATTATAATGAAGAGTAAAATAGAGATAAAATGCTATGCTATGATAAAATGCAATCAGTTTCCATTACTTATAAATGAACTTGTTCAGAATTTGGGGAAGATCATGTACATACTTTTTTACCTCCATATGAGTGAGGATACAGTGATTAAAACAGAGGGGACCAAACCTTGATGAAGATTTTGTTAGGGTCTATCCTAATAAAAGAATAAATTACTAATTTTTTTTTCTAATGAATTGATGTTGCTGCTCAAATGATTAAACAGAAAATGTGATTAGCCATCAGCAAAACTGTATAGGGGTTATTTCACACTGTATTGCAAAGTGTACAAAAGAGAGAAACATGAAAAGTGAAAATACTGATTTTTTTTTCTTTTGTTTGTTTGGTTTTTCCTAGTAATAGGTATATTGTAGTGACATATGTTAAATATATGTCCAATGCTTTTGATGAAAATATAATTTCCAAGTGTAACCCTTGATAAATTATCCGATACATGGAAAGAATTGTATCTTAACTCGTCTATTTCTGTCTAATACTATTCATGATTTCCCAGGACATCCAGTTACTTGGTTTCACTACTGTTTGCAGTTTCTACTAATGACCTCCCAAATTAATGCTTGGCATCGAATATTCATTTATACAGTGATTGTGCTGCTAGCTGGCAGATCAGTCTTCTACTGAAGAAAATACTTTAGCAGATGAGAGGCAGAGAACAGAGAGATTAAACAAGTTCCAGAAGGCAATTGCCACCAGAGATCTTTTTAATTTTGGCTGATAGGGGATGAGGCAACAAGGTATCACACTGCCAAGCCTAATTGCAGCCATCAGTAAAGGTGATGGTAAAATACAACTCAAGTTTGCTGATGTTAACTTTGCAAATAATGAGAGGCTGCTCACATAAAAGAGCCCTTGTCAAAAAAGACATTTAAAAATGTGTGTTTCTGTTGCTAAAGGGACATAATAAGAAAGTGTTATAATGAAAGCACAGAATGGTGGTTACACTTTGTGTGAACCTCCTAATAAATGTGTGCCTCTTTCGTGTTCAGTAAATAGAAGATAGATAGTTAATTTCAGACTAGGTTTTATCCCATTTCTGTGGATTTTATTTAGTATTTTATTTAGATACAGCTGTAACTCAAAGGCTATGAATTTTTTAACTGATGTACTTCTTAATGTTTCTTAATGGAATAAATCACTTTCATATTGCAAATGCTGTCTTAGATCACTGTAACCCATCTGTCCCTAAGGGCATAAAGCCAGAACAGTTTGAAGGAGGATAAACCTGTCCTCTGAAATTCCAAAGCTCTCATGCAATGGTGTGGATGTTTTATGCATTTCTCAAGTTTTTCTTAGTTTCACTGGCTGAATTTCTGACCCTGTGCAAGCCAAGGGACAATCTCCAATTTGCTACAGAGGAACCAGAGAATCACCAATTTTTGCTGACTTTTTTCTATAATTTCCAATGTTTTATTTTTTCTCTTGCTAACTCTGCCCTTCCCCATGCCTTGATTTTCTTAAATGACTTCTAATAAATATCTTCATAACTAGTGAAATAATAATTATTATTGCTATTTTTATTACTTGCAATATTCATGGTGTTTTATGAACTTTATTGCCATCACAGTGGAAAAAACACACTCGTTTCAGCAGACATGTTAGATATTTTATATATCAGAAAACGTGACACATTGTGTCATGCCATGTAAATACTATGTTCTGCATTTCTGTTAATGCATTACTAAACTGTGCTCTTTTGTGCTTCTTTAGTGGGACCCTGGACTCCACTGCCCAGGTTCCAAAGCACAGCATGCTGAAGAGTCAGTAATGATGTTACAAATCAGCCGGACTGCTGAGTCCTCAAAATAGCAATTTCTCTAAATTCAATCA